CTTCCTTCCTTCCTTCCTTCCTTCCTTCCTTCCTTCCTTCCTTCCTTGGTACTGGAGATTACACTAGTAATCTTCACCTGGTAGGTGATTGCTTTGTCACTAAGCCCCACCCCAGCCCTCTTTTTAAAAGTTAATGTTGAGTACCCAGTGTGGTGGCATATGCCTTTAACCCCAGGGAGGCAGAGGCAGAGGCAGGCGGATCCATGTGAGTTTGAGACCAGCCTGGTCTACAAAGCTAGTCCAGGACAACCAAGGCTACAGAGAGAAACCCTGTTTTGAAAACCAAAACAAAAAAAATTTTTTGAGGGGCTGAAGAGATGGTCCAGTGGTTAAGCCACAGGATGTGGGTTCTGGGGACCAAACTGGGGTCGTCTGCAAGAGCAGCACGTGCTTGTGACCCCTAAGCCATCTCTCTGAGCCCCACCTCACCTTATTTTTAAATTAGTGATGTATTTATGCTTTCATTTCTTCTATCTGCGCAGTGTTTTGTGTTTGACTCCTCTTACAGCTCTGGCTACGATGCAGAAGGAGCAATGGAAGGGAGAGGAGTTGTGAAGAACACCTTTAAGGCATGGGCTTCCAGCTACAGTGCTAGTCAGTAGAGATGTGCTCTCCATTGTACGCTCTCCTCCACCAGCCTGTTCCCGGGTGTCCCACGAGTGTGTGAGTGGACAGAAGTCTCCAACGGGAGAAGTGGCTTTGGATGAGACAGAAGTCCACTCCCGGCTGACAGCACCCCACTCTGTGTTCACCCCCAGCTGGTAGGGGAGAGAGAGTTCTTGTCTATGAATGGTCATGGAAAGCATGGTTAGGGTAAGCCTCAGAGTAACTGGAAAGAAACACAGCTTCTGATTTCTGCTGACTGGAGATCTATTTTATTTTACACTTTGTTGTCAAAATCAAGTTGAAGGCCTTGAGCATACTAAGCAGGTCAGCTACCACTGACCCACAGCCCCAGCCCTTCCAAGACAGGGTCTTGCCCTTTAGCCTCAGCTGGACAAAAACCATCAGAAAATCCACAGCATCCAAAACATGGGGACTATAGGTCTGTGCCACCATACCCAAATTTTTTTTTTTTTTTTGGACAGGTCTCACTATGTAGCCTTTGCATGTTTGGAAGACTGGAACTTTATATACATACATATATATATATATATATATATATATATATATATATATATATATTCCAAGCTAACCTCAAAAGACCTTCCTGCCTCTCTGCCTCTTCTTTTGCCTCCTGAATATTGAGATTAAAGCTATAGGTTGTAACATACACATCCAGTCACTCCCAGCTCTTGTAAGATTTTTTTTTTGTACTATCATTTATTTTGTGTGTCTGATCCTTTAAAGGCTCCCTAGTTGGTAGCCAACTGGACCTTCGGGAATGCTTAGCCATTAGAACTGCTTGACCCTATGACCTTCAGTGTCTTGCTCTCGGATTTTTGGGAAAAGGAAAAGATATAAAAAGCCAGCAGAGGCCAAGAGAGAAGAGTAGGGTCCAGATGGCAGAAGAGTAAGGTCGGAGAGTAGGGTTAGAGAAGATAGCTGGTGCAGGGAGAAAGAAGATTGGGAAGGGCTAAAGAAGAGAAGAGAAGAAATTGAGCAGAGTGAAAACAGGAGACAGGTGAAAGTGCATTGGGCTAGCAGAGTGAGGAGAGAAGATGGTGACAGCTGAGCCAGGGGAAGCTGAGCTGAGCAGATAGGGCTATCACAGTGGTTATAGTTTGCGCTGCTAGTATTGGGAAAACGGGGAGGAAGGACTGTTTAAACAGACTTTGGAGAACTGAGGGAAGAACAGTTTGAAGGGGCTGGGCTGCAAACTGGGAGGGACAGTTTTGATAAACCTTTAAAGGGGCAGAGCTGGAAACTAGCGAGAGGGCTGGCAGGGAGTTAGGAGAACTGGTTACTGTTTATAGGAAAAGAAAACATTACAAGAAACCTTTAAAACAAAAAAGAAAAAAATGTGTTACTTTTTAATTTTTTTGTAACAACTCAAAAGAGTTAGAGGATTTGCCTTATACTTTGTAGATGCAAGGAAAAGGCATGTCCACTTAGCAAGTATAAAGAGAGAAACAAATAAAATTCTATGTCAGGGTTCTTTCTTTCACTACACAGCTTTTACTGATAGAGTCTAGCTAGAGCTGGAAGAAATTGTACCCTCTGAGCGTTTGTGACTTCACAAACGCTGAGTGGCTGAGGTCTGGGGTTCTTCCCTGGAGGAGGAGGAGTCAAAGCTGCAGTCACAGACTGTGAGGTGATGCCTAAGGTCAAGGCCAAGGCAAGAAGTCAACAAGCAGCTCACTGAGGCCTGCAAGAGCTCCAGGCCCCATCCCTGAGCACAAATGTCTGTCCTGCTGAGTGCTGTGTTGTACCTGTCCACTCTCCTCCTCTGCCTCTTCCTGCTCCTATGTTACCGCGTCTATCTGAGGGAATAAGCTCAGGCTCCTGAGGACGGGGACTGAAACCTGATGGGAGGCTTAGCCAGGCCAGCATCCAGGGCCACGCAGCTGTGTTTCTGAACTGCCCCCGAGACTATTAGCACATACAGCTGTGCAGATTGTACATCGGGCACACTATTGGCGTCCTAGTCTGTGGTTGGGGAGCAGAGGTGTTGGGGATGCTTGATTGAGCCAATGTCACAAAAATGTATGCCTGAAAGGAGACACTTTCCCAGGGAGCCTCCGCTGGTGCAGGAGGGTGGCCCAATGCTTAAACGGAAGGTCCTTCTATTAAAGCCTCCTGAGAATGATCTCCTAACAGGGCATTGACAGGATTAACCTTCACCTCGCCTCTGCTTCGTGAATCGGAACAGAAGCCTGTTAAGCCTGAGACAGTGAGAGTGTGCAAGGGCTGTTGGAGATGAAGAGGAATGTGCAGGCAATAGGTGGGCTTCCGGAGAAATGCCGTCCTTCGCTTCTTGGATTCTGAGCTCAACGTTCAGATACCTTCTGAGCCAAAGTGTTTCCATTGCTTCTTATTGCTGCAACAAGATACTTGGTAGAAGCCACTTAGGGAGGGGAAGATTTCTTTTGGCTCACAGTTTTGGGTTTCAGTCCATCACAGTGGGGACGCCATGGTGGCAGGAATGCGAGGCAGCTGGTTGCTTTGTACGTGAAACCAGGAAGCAGAGAGAGAGAAGATGCTGGTGCTGTGCTTGCTATCTCTTTTTTTTAATCCAGCCTTGCACCCATGAGATGATGCTACCTACATTTTGAGTGGGATTTTCCACCTTAGTTTATCCAATCTAGGAACTCATTCCCTAGGTACTCT